GGCAAAAACATTTCCAAATAGGAGGACGTTTTAAGCGGGTGCATGACTCCAGTACTCGTGTGCTGAGAAATGGGAAGACCTTGACACTGTCTCGCTTGCAGAGGGAGACGCGTTCTTCTCGTGGAACCGCAAGCTGCCCGCCCCCACGCACCCCTCTGTCGAGGACCCCCCGGTGGCGGGGCCGGGCGGCGCGGCTCTGGATCTTCTCACAGTCGCCGGCAGGGAGGCTTCGGGGTTGCCTGCGCGATGCCTGCGCGAGCAGAAGCGCCCGGGGGACGGACGCTGCAGGCGCCCGCTGGGTGTCCCCGCGGGAGGAGCGCACCGCAGGCGCTCTGAGTACCGGGGGCCAGACGCGCGGGGAAAGCCAGGCCACCAGCCAACGATGACAGTGACGACAACACGTGTCTCCGGGGGCTTTCCCTGCCACGCCAGGTGCCCAGGCGCGAACGACCTACATACTCAAATTGACAACTTTTATGAGACGGGTACCATCATTATCACCACTTTACAGACAAGGAAAATGAGCCTCAGAGAGGTTACAGAACAAACACAACTGCAGATGTCCGAGAGAGACTCAGTTCTGACTCCAAGTTCTTCCCAGGGCCCAGCTACACAGCGGTCCCCGCCTCCACCCAGCCCCGCCCCACTAACACCCTGGCCCTTCTCCCCAGCAGGCTCCCCTCTCCCCAAGCCCATTGTTCTATATGGTATAATAGGGCCTGTGCAGAGTCTTTGTTTTGTTTCTTTTTTTTTTTTCTTCCTTCCAAAAACTCTAGTGGGTATTAATAGTAATTAATCATACTAACGACCCACTTAAAGATCTGAGATCCTATCCAGTTTGTGTTATGAAAAAAATCAACTTTTACATGTAGAGTAATTTTCCCCCTTCACTGTGTGACATATAAAAGTGAGGATTCCAATCAAGGTGTCAGCCCCCAAGTGACCGGGCTTCCACGCAGGAGTAACCTCTTCTCTCTCCTATCTAAAGTCCTCTGAGGTCTCCCTTTCTCCTTCTGTTCCCTGTGGAGTCCCTCTGGGGACTCAGGTACCAATCTGCTCAGACAGAATCAAATTGGATAAAACCTAACAGACAACCTAATTTGGCAAATACAAAAACAAAAATTTCAGTTAAAACTAGACCAAGCTGGACATGGTTATTTGAAATAAGGTGCAAAAAAAATTTGTTTGCGTTTTTGCCCTGCAAAGTCTATTTCCTCTTCCTCAGGCATTTGGAAGGTCAGTGAGTTTGGACACACAGCACATCTGCTGTCCTACAAGAGACACCTTTTCATTGGCTGCTGATGCAGCCTGACAAAAGTATGCTCTGTTTCTACAAAGCCTTGAAGATATAGGTGTCTTCTCTCCCAAGTAAAATATGGTCTGACTTATAAGCCACATTTCAGGAACAGATCTGAAAAAACTGGATATCCACTGGTAAGAAGTTTCTTGGGGAAGGGGGACTGAAACAGTTCCACCAGAGGGCGCTATCCTCACTGAAAGAATAAAGTGTGCCTAATTTAAAGCACTTCGCACTCCAACCATCCCAAAACAAATCATTTTTTTCCTTGAGAGCATTTATTTTTTTATTTTTTATTTTTTTGTTAAGATTTTATTCATTTATTTTTTCCCCCAAAGCCCCAGCAGATAGTTGTATGTCATAGCTGCACATCCTTCTAGTTGCTGTATGTGGGACGCAGCCTCAGCATGGCCGGAGAAGCGGTGCGTCGGTGCACGCCTGGGATCCGAACCCGGGCCGCCTGCAGCGGAGCGCGTGCACTTAACCGCTAAGCCACCGGGCCGGCCCCCTTGAGAGCATTTATGATGAACAGTGAAACTGTCTTCAAATCTAACATTCTATAATTAAATAAAATATAAACAAAACTTTTCTTTCCACAAAGAATAATGATGATAATAAGAATAAACACCTATTTTTAGTTTATTATGCCCCAGGAACAGATCTACGCACTTTACATATATACACTCTCATAATCTCCTCACACTATAAAAATAACTTCATTTTACACACGGGGAAGTTGAGGCACGATTAAGTAACTTAACAGGGTCACCAAGTTAGTAATGGCTAGAGCCAGGATTCAAATTCTGACTCCCTAGTCCATGTTCCCAAACTACAGGAAAACACAGGATCCCAATAAAAGGAGATTTACTGCCAAATGTATTTAGCTATGTCACTGATTATATCACAGCTCTAGAAATACATAACATTAGCTTATAGGAGGTACTAATTCTATCATCTGATAGCAATGTTATTAACTATATTTTGACATCATTTTTGCATGTACATGAATACTTCCCAGTGAAGGGGACATATCACTCAAGTTCACTTATTCGTCAGCTACATTCATTCCATTGAAGAGACCAAAATTCTAGATTTAAGGAGGAGGAGGAGAAGAATCTGTTCTGGTCAAAAGGTAAAAAGAAAAAAAAAATGCATTTGATGTAAAACAGACATAGAAATTTTGAATCATATTCAAAATACTGACTTTATATATATATACACACATATATATGTTTTTATATCTGCTAATGTATATGACACTGGTCTATTATATACAGCATATATAAAAACACTAATGTATACCTATTATTTCTAAAATAATGAAAATAAAATACCACATTCTAAATCTTTAAAAAGAAACAGACATAGGAGGAGGAGAAGGACCTGCTCTTGATATTTTTAAAGATTGATAATACAGAGCATAAACTACAGCAGAGCTATAGCTTAAAATAAAATATTCTGAGTAAATCATTTATTATTAGGACCACATTGTGACTCTAAATTATCCCCGGTCTTTGGAGCTAACTCTGCGTTCCCCGTCATATTTCCATCCTTGGGACACATCTGTGATTCTCTATAGGCTAGCAACACACTTTATAATGGGCAAATACTCAAACGTTGTTGGAAAAACCCCAGAATGCATGTCTTGAGAAATTTACTGCTCCAATTTATTAGAAATTTGGAAAGTAAGGTATTTTATTCAGCCACAAGTAAACTTGTTTCAGACATTCAAGTTGCAATTTCTTTAGATATACTTTACTAGCAACTGGGGTGTGTGTGTGTGTGCGTGCAGTCAGACTTACATGTGCCTTCAATATCAAGTTTCAAGCATTCAAGGTCCTTTTAATTTAGTTAGTCCACTTCCTACCTGTTGCACAAGTTTAAAGAACTAAGGAAAGTACATAAAAGAGCCTAAACAAGGATATTCACTCCAATATTGTGTGTACTGGCAACACTCTAGTAACAACCTAAATATCCATCAGATGGGGCTAGTTAAATAAACCAATTACAGCACATTAATATGTCAGACTGTTAGGCCATTTTTTAAAAGAATGAGGCAGCTCTGTATGTACAGACATAGAAGTGGAAAAAGCAAAGTGCAGAACAGTGGGTGTGATATGCTGGCATTTGTGTGAAGAAACACACACACGTGACTGGAAACACTGGTTGACTCCAGGCAATGAGCAAGAGACTGAGGGATGGGGATCAGAGGAAGGCTTACTTTGTGAACATCGCTTCGAAAAAGTGTTTGCCTTTTTTTAACCAGGTCCATGAAAGATTTCTTCCAATTATAATCCATTATACAGTTAATACCTTAATAATTAATTTTTAGAATTTTTAATGAAAATTAAACAGTTAAAGAAACCTTGAAACTCGTCTACACTACCTAATTTGTGGTTTCTTTACTACACGGGCATCTGCTTTCTACTGGAGCTCTTCTATACTGGGGTGGATGACTCATGGGAAGTTTTGGTTTACCACTGCTAGAAGAAGCTTTGGTTCCATTTTCCTTGATCTGCCCTTTAGATAAGGAACACAACAGAGGTTATTCCAAATTATTTGCTTTTGGGATACACTTTACATCTGCAAGCTTTAAAATGGTAGGTCCAGACTTCCTGGAAGAACAAAGAGTATATTTACTTGAAGCTGACTTGGGTCTACTTGAGTTCATCCTCACTCTGGCTAAGCCACAGCACGAGGGCAGGGTGTCTAGAAAAAATGCTTCCATTTTTATCCTGTTCATTCCTGAAAATCCAACAGGAGATTCTTTTCACTCTCTAAAATTAACTGTTCTGTGTAAAAGCAGTATCTGGATATCTGATCTTAAATGGAAATGGTATCTGAAAATGGCACCATCTTTTACATAACTTTAAAATTTGGACCTCTTATTTTCAGCCTTTGGGGGCAGGGGAGAACAACTACAACAAAAGCTGATTAGTGTATTAATTCACACCTGATTATCTCTAGCGGGCAGAATTTTAGTTCTTCTGAAGTAAAGGCAATTAGCAGAAAATAATCTCTTCTCAAGTCTCAAGTCACACTTAAACACGGTAAATGAAGTGAAAAGTGGGCCATACTATCCCAGGACAGGAAGGGGGAGAAGCCACCTGCAGATTACGTAATGGCTGGATGCAGTCTAAAATCAGAGCCACCTCGTTCAAACTCCAGCCCTGCTGTCCAACAAGCTGTGTGACGTGGGGCGAGTTTCCACGTCTATGACACTGGAACGCTGTCACTCCTTGTAGAATTGCTGTGAGGATTTAACGAGATGAGACAAGAAAATGCCTGGTCTGGTGTCAGTCACACGTTAAGCAAAAAAAAAAAGGAAGGAAAGAGATTTGAGGCCAGAATTGAAGCCTTTGGCAGACTTTAGGGACCAATTTCACAGAAAGGGGCTCTGTGCCCTACCTGTCTCCGTCTGGATGAAGACAGGAGGCTAGGTGATCTTTCAAAGAACTTCAGTAAAGGCGGTTGGAGGGGATGCCAGCGCTGCATGGTGACCCCCAGGCAGCAGTGTCGTGAACTTCGGGGCACAGAGGCCAAGAAAGGAGGAGAGGGTGGCGAAGGGTAACGCAGCCAAGAGGGAGGAAAAACACAACCAGCGTGCATGAGCAGGACCGAGGCCACCAGAGCTGCTTCTGAGCTCCAGAGCCCCTTGGCTGAACACTGTTCATTCCGCTCCGAGTCAAAGCTTTGGGCTTACCGAGATTTGGCTGGGACACCGCCATGGACCTCGGGGGCGCTGGTGTGGAAGTGGCGGCAGGGTGGAGGTTCATATGATTCAGGGGCTGATTCATCGCCTTCCTAGGGTCTTGCCATGTGGTGATTTTTTCTATGTGACTAAAAGAAGGAAAACAATTACCTTTTTAATTGTCAGCATCACTATCATTAGCACCACCCCCAGTAACAGCACAACAGTAAATGACGCTGGCTCTCCTCCCCTTAGGATCTGCTTGCAAGTGGCTGACACACTGCTTGTTTTCATCCAAGGTCAGGCATGCCCACTTGCCCTCCACCAAACTGGGCCACACCGGGGATTTTGCAGGGGACTCTCTGAACACAAGCCCATGACTTAGCTGTCCCAGCTGCCCCTATGAGCAAAAGCCCTCCTAAGGGTTTTCTGCCTTACCAGGACAGACAAGCCCAGCCCCCCACAGCCCAAGGGACCCGAATTCCTCAGCTCCTCCACTGCTTCACCGCCACCCCATCGCTGGGACACCGCGGTGTCTCCCGAAGCAGGACAGGGCTCCGCTGCCGGCCAGCCCTCCCACACTCTCCCGGCTCATGTAATTGACATAATGAGGACACCTCTGCCTGTGCTAGCCAAAGACAGGGCCCTTGAAACCAGCCTCGTAAACATGACATTCCTGAGCTCTTACTAAGGGTCAGGCACTGTGAGGTCCACACAGGCAACACACAAAACCCTCGAGAAGCTTGTGTTCTACGATGCAAGGTGACAACTGTGTAGCTGGAGGACAGAGGAGCAGAAAGGGAGGCATGTGCCAGATCATGGAGAGACCCAGATGCTCAGGCATGAAGATTTCTGAGGGAGAAGACATGAGTTTTGCTCATCTACAACTTCCAGTACTTGTTATTACAACTTAATCTCAGAGATGCCAGCACAACATAAGCTTCTGCCCAGAGTCTCCGCTGTGTCCTTAGGAAGATGTACGAGACCTCCAGCTTTGCTTGCCCAATCCTTCCAAACCACACCTCAAGTCATTCTGTGCCTTAGAGATCCTGTGCCACTCCATAAGCTCTATCTTTTTTTAATTACTTTTTTTTTAAAGATGAGCATATTCATCTGGTGCCACAACTCTGTTTTACGAACTGTATCAGAGCGCTTCTAAATGTATCAAAGACGACAAACTCCAAGAGCAGAAACTGAATGTCAGCCCTTTGTTCTAGGCCTTGCAAGGTCTGCCTCTCCCAAACCAACTGGCAATGTCAACCCCCACACAGTACGGACCCTCCTAGCTCCAAAGGAAAAGGAGCATGACTGCTCTTTCCGCTAAACACACCCTAATTTTGAATAACACTGGCCTCCTTTGAATCTTTAGTATAGGAAACCACCATTACTATCATTAGGTTTAACCTTAACTCATGCAGTCCCTTCCACTGGAGTTGTGTCTTTTCTTTTGCTTCTGTTTCCTCACATTCAAATGCTGCCACTGCTGAAATTCTTCAGATTTCTTCACCCCAGACTGGAAGTTATTGCCATGGGGAACTCATCCACTGCCTTGAGTGAAAACTTGGATGTCTTCCCAAGAAGGCCTTTAAATGAGCGTGATTTAAAAAAAAAGTCAGCCTCAGTAAAGAAGGCGAAATTAAATTTAACTGTTGAGTCTCAATACTTTAGGAGACATCAGCGGTCTTCAAAAAATAATCAAAAATGAACTGGGAGAAATAAAAATAAAAGAACCAAGCCCTGTCTTGTTAAGAAAAACACAAATAGAGGACGAAAAGACTGAAATAAAGTGATGGGAATCAATTATCTAAACATAAAAAAATGAAAAAGAAAGAAACAATTGTCTTAGTTACACCTCCAGTTTAACAGCTGCAATTCTGTTTAAAGCTTTCATAAAATCCTTTTGGTCATGCGGAAACTCATAGCCAGCCTCAGGGGTTTGTCACAGGACTTCAGAGTGAGGAATCAATTGATGAGCATGTCAGGGTTAAATAAACTCCCTTTAGGAAAGTAATTAGAGCTAAGAAACCCTTTGACTAACTATTCCTCCAGGAACCATACTATTAAAACATGTTTTCCAGGGTAGACATGTCCTACAGAAATACTTTCCACTATGGGACCAGAAGGCAAGGGATGCTACTCTCTTCCAGGAGCCTTTCTGAGACCGTCTGACACCATGGGTGTCGATGCTGTCCTAGAACCAGCACGAGCACAGCCCTGGGGAGATGGAGTGACAGACATCCTACGGTGGGAGACATTTAAGGACACTGCTGTGGTCAGACACTCAGCGACCAGTCAGTAGAACAACACGGGAGCCGGAATGATGCACTCCCAAATGCTGGTCCCCTGCTCCCCCTCCCACGCTGAACCAGTGGGCTGTGGCTCCTGAATCTGGGGAGAGCACAGAGGCTCGCAGCATCCGAAGTGGAAGATGAGCCCACCTTGCCTAAGGACTGCCACCTCGGCTGGGAGCCTCCATCCCCTGGGACCAAGGGTGGAGCTTTCTGGGCAGACACTCTGGCCCTTATCCCAATAGGTCTGACCCCAAAGATGTACAACTCAGCCGTGGCTTCAAATCCCAGAAGCCCCCCAGGACCATGAGAGCCTCTGCAGCCCACCCTTCCAGCTCCACACCCAGCCAAGGCTCTTAAAGGGGTTTTATTCCCAGTGGATTTGTTAATTAAAGTGTCACTCACTGTATTCCCCAAAGCCTCGAGGACGAGAGGGAGCCTTTCTTAAGTAAGCAGTTCTCATCGCCCTGAAACAACTCGGAGAAGAAAGCCACTCAAATTCCCAGCCTCTGCGGACCAGTCCAGCCCACGTCAGCTTTGCTCCAAGGCTTGGCTTCTGTGACGTCCAGGGTGGCTCCCCGTCTGAATGCCAAAAGCAAGGGCACTGCTCACAGGAACTTAATATGTCGCTGATGACTCAATTTGAAAACGCAATTCTCCTATTGTTCAGACCACTTAGCTCCCCTTACCCATTCCCAAACTCGGGCTAAACCACTCGCTCTTTCATGCTGCTGTCTCATCTAGGCTCCCTCTCAGGGTCCCTGAGTCATTTCCTTTCTCGGATTTCTCAGTGTAACCTTTCCATCTGCCAGGACCCACAGTTGAGCTGGATTAATCCACACGCACCCCCTGAACTCCCACTCTTTCCTGATCGCCCTCCCTTGCTGAGTCCACTTCAACAAAATCTCTCTCTCCCGTTTTTAAAAGTCTAATTTCTCTTGAAAATTTACACAGATATTTAATCTGCCTATACAGGTGTATTCTATGAATTCTGAACAGGTTTCATATTTGAAAATGCAACGAAAAAGGAAAAAAGATACCAAACTATTTACGGTGATATATCTAAGTGATAGGCTCACAGGTGCTTCTTTTTTTCCCATCTCAACTCTTCTGTACTTTCCAGGTTTTTAATGACACTATGTAGTGTTTCCATAGCCAGTAAAAACAAAAATACTCATGTAAGGACAAAGAGACAAGAAGGAAAATGAGGCATGGACAGGGTCACAGGGTACAAAGAAGGAAGTGAAGATAAAGGTTCGTATCTTTGTGTGGCCAGAGCAAGAAGGGACATGGACTCATTTATAAAGAAAAAAACACGACTTCCTAAGCGAAAGGAAAACTTTTCTTGACACCAAAAAAAAAGGTTTTTTCCTGGACTAAAAAGAAAAAAGGCCTGCCACGTTTTCCCAGGGAGGCCCTGGGTGGGGTAGGGTGCTGTAGCAAAGGTAACGGGGGTGGTCTTCTCCACTTCCTGTGGGGGCCCCTGGACCACGGCTTCCCAGACTGGCTGCTTCTTCCACAGTCGCAGAGAGAACAAACCAGCTCGTGGCCTCCACCGCGTCAGGAGTCTCTGCCCAGAGAGCTGCCTCAGCTCCAGGACCCGTGGTTGGCCCAGGGGCAAGGAAGGTCAGCACTCCTCTGAGAAGATATCTGGCTGGAAACGGTAGCTATGGAAAACCGTGCTGTGCGAAATAATTTTCCCTTCTTGGATCAATATGTTCTTTAATAAAGACACAAATTTAGAAAGCCATTTTATTTATTAGGGAAATTCTGTGTTTGGAGTTAAAATGTCATTGAAATGGGGGGGAGCATTATCACCCTCCCAGTCACCCTCCCCTCTGGGCCTGGCCCCCTCCCATCAGCCTCCAGGGGATTGTTAATTTAGCTCCTAGTTCCTCCACTCCAGCCACCTGCATGACCTTTCACCTTGATGAGCACAATGGGCTCCAGGCTTCCCTTCCTCCATCCCTTCCCCCACCTCTCGATCTGACAGTCGTTCTCTATCCCACCTCCAGACTCTCATCCCAAGGACAGCTGGAATCTAAGTCACCCCTGGGTCTCTGAGCCCCACTGCCCACGAAATAAAAGGGCTACTCACAGAGGCGTCTTCCAGACAGACAGCCTACTGTGAGACACTGTGGGCTCTGGAAAGACCACAGTTTTGGAGTCACACATAGCTGAGTGTTAATGTGAGCTCTGACCCCGTGTGACCTGACTGGACAGCCCATTTAACCTACCTAGTCTCAGACTCATGTCCACGACAGGGGTAAAAAAGCTAACGATCGCATTGGTTCCTTGTTGTGAGGGTAAAACAGGTCTGTTCTGGGAAACTTACGACCGCCAAAGTCCCCTGCAGATTTCACGACCAGTTCACTGGGCTTCGAGCTCACGGCCTCAGCAGTGAGGGCATGGAAGGCAGCTCTGGCCTCAGGCCCAAGGCTGGCAATATTTAGTTCAAGTTTATTCAACAAGCGTGGACTGCACACCTATTGTGTACGATGCACAAGGTAGGCAAAGAAATGAAAAGCATTTAGTAAATAAAAAACCCTTTCTAGGGCCGGCCCCGTGGCTTAGCGGTTAAGTGCGCGCGCTCCGCTGCTGGCGGCCCGGGTTCGGATCCCGGGTGCGCACCGACGCGCTGCTTCTCCGGCCATGCTGAAGCCGCGTCCCACATACAGCAACTAGAAGGATGTGCAGCTATGACACACAACTATCTGCTGGGGCTTTGGGGGAAAAAATAAATAAATAAAATTATTAAAAAAACAAAACAAAAAAAACCCTGACTAGCAGCAGAACCGTTCAAGGCAAAGATAAAATCTTATCTGTAAAAATAGAATCCACCGGCTTCCGACAGCCCAGGA